TTTACATATTAAATATAGGGAGCATGTTGAGAAGAAGTTGACGTGAAATAAAAAAAGAGAGAGACATCCTCGAGCCTTGAGAGAGAAAACAAAAAAAATATTAATCATGGAGAAATCAGTTTTACTGTTGATTTCGGGCGTGGCATACAATAAATTTTGTAATCGACGGCCTTGGGCGTTTTTTGCGCTCGGGCTCCAAATGTTGCGTAGTATAATCAAACACTGATTTAAAACAAGTTTCTTCTCGACTTCCCGAAGGGATTGGCGTGCTTCGGCCCTTTTGCTTATTTTTTTTCCATCCATTTCCGAGATACGCGTCAAGCCTGACACGGCTGCCATTTTTGAATTCCAACGATAATTCGATACGATTCGTAGATCCGCGTAAAGATTTTCGAAGAAAGAAAAAAAAATAAATAAAAGGGTAAGAAAATTGTGAAACGATCAAATCCTTACCGGAAGCCGAGTGAATTTGTAAATAACCTACAACACGGCACAGGGTGTATATGCCAGTGCACACGTAATGTCCTACATAGCAAAGTACTACTATATAACGCATGAAGAATAATAATGATAACAATACATGGGGTAACGTGCAAGCTTCCCTCCATCCTCCCTTCCTCGAAGTTGCGGTTAAAACGCATTGGTAACACAAACGATGCAGTCGTCACCTCTCGAAAGCACGAAACTCGAGCCAATGTCAAATTAGAAAGGAAAAAAGGAGAGAGAGTGGGTTCGGTGCCAATCGAAAGTTCGCCGATCCGTGTATTTCCGTGAGAAAGAAAAAGAAAGCCACGATTCCATCGAGAACACGTTGCGAGAAGACTCGGTCGGATATCTCGAGAAATGTATTTGCTAAAAAAAAAAAAAGATAAAAAGAAAGTAGATGCAAGGTGACATATGGGATACGGGATATACTTCCACGCGATCCCACGTACGTAGGAATTTTTCATTTTCCAAAGAGACGGTAGTCTCGCGCGCGCGCACACTTTACGGTTTACATTATATAGACAGGATTATTGTGAGGTAATAATGGATAACAGCAACAACAAGATATGGAACTGGAAAGATTTCGTAATAGGCGGACGAATGAAGAAGGGCTGTCGCTCGATGAGAAAAAAATAAATAAAATAAAAAAATATTGTAAATGCCGAAGTGCATAAAAAGGTCGAGCGAGAGAGAGAGAGAGAGAGAGAGAGAAGCGATCGAGTGTTGCAAGATGAAAAGAGTGACTAGAAAAAACACATACGTTATATACCTATTTATTATAAGTACAACAGTATTAATCTTTAATAATAATATGAATGAGGTACGAAGAAAAAAATTCATTGATTAATTAATTATTATTACTTATTACGAATTAACATGTAATAAGGGAAATTGGATTAGTAGGGATGAGCGTGGAAGAAGCTGGACGTGCGAATAGTTGTAGAAATAGGTGATCAGCGGAGATGGAAGATCAGCGTGCGAAATTGTGAGAATGTGAGTGAAAATGAGAGAGAGAGTAGAAGGAGAGGTAGGAGATGCTATTATTTAGTTGCAGGGAAAAAAGGAGAAGCAAAAAAAAGAGTGCATTTTGGAAAAGAAAAATATGAAGAAGATAATCTAACAATAGATCGATAAGCGAGAGAGGTTTTTAGCATATCAGTGTGTTGAACTTAGGGAGGCACACACGGAATGATATAAATTATAATAGTATATGCATTTACGAGACAAGAGGAAATGACGAAGAAATTACGAAAAACCGGATGATGAATTTTGCAAAAAAAAAAAATATTGAGAGAACAAAAATTTCACGAATTTACAGATATATGGATAATAAAGTACATACTGGATATTCCCGGGACGTTAAGCGAGGTTCTTCTTCTTCTTCATTTTTCTTCTCATCAAATTTTCTTTCGCTCTTACACTTGGACTCTCTCATTTGTTTAACGAGGATCGTACGGTGCCGGCCCCGTGAAATCTACATTACCGACGTCGTTACGAATGCGCCAATCGACTAATCGACGGTCTGCTTTTTTAAGAGTAATTAATACCTAATCGATAGGGGAACGAAGAAGGCATATCGAGCGCGATGAATTACGACGCTGACAGATAATACTTTTGTATCACAAAAACGGGAACACATTATATGGCCAGGGTGGATCCTTGGTGACGTATCCCACAGGATTCGGGATGCACGTGTCATCCAGAAGATTAAACGGAGATGTCACCTTATATAGGAAATATTTCAATAACGAACCCAGGATCTTAAGAAATCGTGCGCAAAAAATTGAACTAAGTAAAAAAAAGGAAAAAAAAAAGATAATCACAGACCGGACGGCGTGATCGAATCTGTCGCCATTAAAAACAAAAAAATCGATCGATCGATCGGCCTGCTCACGAAAGGTACAGGCTAGTCGAAAATTCCAAATTTTTCAATACATACGCTATGGACTCTGATAAGAACGGATAACAAAGATACCAAAGAGCACGCCATGTGATCGTCTTCTTATTTTTAATACAAATTTTAAAAAATTTTTTTTAATTAACAACGTCACGCAGTCCCGTCAGCTTATCCATTGAATCCTACAGTTTCCTCTAGCGAGAGCAACGTGTGCTGTACAGAAATTAATATAATTGAACGTCAGGCTAGATCAAGCAAGAGGCATGCCATTTTCCAATTAGCTATTATTTTCTTAAAGAATACCTATTTATGATACTATTAGAACGTGCAACAATATTTATAACGTTATTAGGTTCGCTACTGTTCTTCGATAAAATCGGCTTTCATTATTATTATTTATTATTATTATTATAATCGATCTCTCATTCTCATTAAGATTGTGAGCAAATATTATTGTTATTAAATCTTAACACCGTCATCCTCGTCATCGTCACGTATTAACGACACGTTATCTTCCTGGTCGTCATCGTTCCTCGTTACGATTATTAATATTACGCTTTATTGCTCTTATCATCGTCATCGTCATCATCATCCTCATTGTCGACGCTATTATTATCATTATTCTTATTGCCGTCGCGGCGACGGAGATGGTGGATGAAAAAAAAAATGAAAAAAAACTAACGCATTATACAAACTAAATAATAATTACACTTAACACTTATGTTAGCAGGCTAGATACATAACATTATAACGCTACACGAAAAACAAAGCTAAGACAGTCCAGGTGATATAAGTAAACGTCGTATCGAGACTAGTGCGCGGTGCCCGCCTTTATTTTTCTTCAACAAAGTTCAAGGGTCAGGGATTGATCGCGTTACAGGCCGCCACTAGATGTACGTGCATCTGCGTGTGCAAGAGTGCGGATAAAAGAAAAAAAGATATTCGAAAGGTCATAGCGAGGAAGATTCGCGACCGGACGGCGAGCTTGCGAAAATAAAAATTAAAAAAAATTCAATTCCGTGGGAGCCCGAACGACTAAGAATGAGTTTTTGTATGCGAAATGATATTTTTCTTTTTTTTGTATTTTTATGTAAAAAATATCAACTAAGCCTCCAAACGGTCGTTACCGCAGCCGTACGATCGGTCGATCGATCGACTCGAAAGTATAATTAATGTATTAACGTATTCTCGAGGCTTTCGTGCTTTTCGGAGTGCGCCGTGCGAATTAAGGAATTTTCAAACAAAGAAAGTTCACTACTGGCGCTAGGTGCGATTTTGCGAGGCTTCAGACGCGCGCCGCTTTGAAACGTGGCGCGCAGGTGGCACATGTCAATAGGTGAACGTGGATTTCGGTATGCGAATATATGTATATTGTATATACGTATATATATATATATATAAATATATTTGCGTGCATTTGCGTGCACCAAACACTATATATATATATATATATATGCCTGCGTGATCTCACGGATAAATGGTAAATGGGTATAACGACGAATGGCCGAGGAATGTTAATCGAGGAATGTAACGCTGAACCGAGTTCTCCGTACGACGTACCTTACCCCACTTGGAACTCGCATACAGACTACATACTAGCTATTACGGAACATGGCCACTAGGAGAAAATGTACCATTCGGATAGTTTATCATTAAAACGGTAATCATTAATAGATATATTAACGACATTATTTATATTATTACACATATTATTATATAAATAATGATAACGGATACTAACCCGAGGGTGACGTATTTGTGAGGAATTTTTTGAGAAATTCCGCTCTGGCGAGACGAGGCTTGGCGATAAGCGCCGGTGTGACGGCAATCCTTCAAGATGGCCGCGAGTGAAGCGGGCCGAAGGAAGGATTAAAAAAATGAGGAAGAAACGGTGAGGGGGGAAAAATGGAAAAAAAAACCGCCAATTACTTTAACTTCGACAGTACTATTATTTGTATGCCGAACGATTGTGCCGTTTTCAGCGCGACATATTTTGGCGATTCTTTGGTGGTGGAGTCATGGTGAAACGCGTTAAAAAAAATAAAAACCAGAAGTTTCTATACTTTTTACGGAGATTGTTATAGTCTAAGCGCACACTGATAAAGGCATTCGTCGCTCGGCAAAGCATAATATAATTATTAATATAAAATTTATAACAGAAATAAAATAAATGAAGTTAATAAATATGTACACTGTATAATAAACATTATTTCCTATTAATAACTCACGAGTGTTTTTATTCAATTGGACCAAGATTACATTCCTCTTTATCTTGGCTGTTCTCAGGTGTAGAAAAAAAAGAGAAAAGAAATTTACCAAAGTGATTTACCAAAGTGAGTGATCCTTGTCTCCTTCTCAAGTATCCCGCTATATTATTTGCGGGTCTAGTCCATTCTTTGATATTTGAAGACCGTTTGAGTGAGGACTTCACGATTCGGCCACTTATTTACTTATTATGATTACATCCGCACAGGGATTTTCGTGCACTGTAAAAAATGATTGGGATCCAACTGAAAGAAAAGATGACGATGATAGAGATAGTGAACGATTGTTACAAACATTATAATTGACAGAATCATTTGATATATTAACAGGGTGAAATAAATTTAATACAGTATCTTGGAATATATTAATTTATTTCCGATAAAGTCTATACTATGAAAACATTGAATTATGTAGAGTCTCAATGTCTTTCTCGCGTTCCACTGCGCGCTGTTTCTCTTTTCTGTACAATTCGTAATCTTCATCGTCTGTCGGTAACTCGTACCTACATAGGGGACAGGAGTTTGTCTGAAAGTAAAGAAACTGCAGGTTACCACATATTACCGACATTAAATGCAAATCAAGGAAATGATGAAACCATTTGACAATTTTAGCGTTTTTGTAATTTGACTGTTTCAACGTTTATTAGGACTACGTTTAAAAATACGAAAATTAACGATATAATTGTCCAATGATTCATAGAATGACTTTAGAAACGTTTTCGTTGGTAAACAATATACCTACCTTCTCCAACCAAGGTACAATACATTCCTTATGAAATGTATGACGACATGGTAATGTCTTTACCAAATTACCAATCTCAAATTCCTTTAGACATACAGGACATTGTCGGGACACGTGCGTATCATCCGACGTAACTTTCTTCTCCTCCAATGATTCCAGTGCTGATTTTGAAGCTGGTGGCGGTAATCTTTCATGTTGACCGAGTTGTTCCCACATTCCAAAATCGCGCAATAATCGCGCCATGTGTAGAAAGTGATTGGGTGCTTCACCTTCGCGAAGTGGAGTCCAACCCATTTCGTCGAAATAATCAGACATTTTGTATTAAACAATTAACGGTGTTTACGATAAATGTGGCAAACTGATTTGAGCCAAAAGAAATTTGTAATTTTAGGACACTTTGACTACACTAGATATTTGAGTGGAACTTTTCACGAGTGTGTTGTCAAAACAGTCTAGTCATATGAGAATACTGTAATACTTACGCCAGGGATAATGCTGATAGAAGAGTCGTCGTGGCATAAACTATATCAGAGATGAGCAGGGAGATGCACAACGCTTCGGTTTCAAGCGATACCAAAATCATGTCGCTAAATCGTAGCGGCAAGTCTGGAAGTAGGATTCTGTGATCATCGCCTCCGTCGACAATGCAAATCCCGTCGTAGTCGAGCTAAACGTGAACACGAACGCGTAGCTTGGCGGGCAGAGGTTCTCCGCTACTCACCGTTGGTTCCCAGAGCAACTCTTAGAACAAGACCGGGAACTATAGAACTTCTAAAGAATTATTGAAAAAGCTTATTGTTGAAATATTTTTAAGACATTTTGAAGAAAGTGCCAACTTGACACCCGTGTAGCACCTCAATTTTTACTAAATATTATTGGATCTTGATTTACTTTCAAAATTTATTCAAAATATAAAATTGAAGCTAAATAAAAATCTCGCAGAATATACGGAGCAGATAAAATTTGAATTGAAATTGTAGAATATCGAAAATAAATTACATTCAAATTGAACTATTAATAAATTAAGTGTTTGTAACATTAAAATAATTAATTAAATCAATAAAGTAAAATATTAACCAAAATTGTGAAGTTGCCCAAAATTGTGTGCGCGCAAATTCGTCGCGGCAGGACTCGTCGAGTGGAGATGGCGAAGAGTGGGGGGAGCGCTCGAGGCAGTGCCCGCACTCCGAGCGCTCATTCTTCCTGGAGCCGGTCTCCTATACTGGTCTCTTGGAACCACCCCCCATATCCATTTGCAACCTTCTTCCATTATTATAGTTATTTCTTCTTTACTTCCTTATTTCTTTATCTTTCATTCTTTACTTTCTTATTTATCTCTTTCCTCATTTCTTCTCCACTTTTATAACTCTATTCTTTACTTTTCTACTTCCCACTTCTTTATTTCTATCTTCATTTCTTTCTTCTCGTTTCGCTTTGTTCCTTCTTACTTTCAATTGTATTTGTCTTACTTTCCCTATTCCTTTAGTCGGGTCGTGCATATTAATTCAAGTAGTCATATAAGAGTAGTCACCCTGTTAGTGCAGCTAGACTTAAGACCATGGTGTCGGGGGTTGCCCTTCCGCCTC